TTGCAATTTTGAGACTGCTGCATCCCTCTGCAAGATATCTCACTATTTTTGACTTTTCTGAGCCTGTCAAGTCCTTCTTTTGACCCATTTTGTCACGGTGGGGTGCACCGGTGTGTTTTTTGAAACAGGACCCAAAAGCAGATGTGGACGAGGTGTTGCAAGTTTAAACAGAAAGCGATCGTTTATTTGGATGATTGCAGGGGTTAACCAAGGAACCCTAAGCAAACTAAAAAACACTAAGAAACAAATACTACAAAGTTCTATGACTATGACTAAGACTATGACTATGACTATGGTGGGGATAACAGACGACCCGACAATGACATTCAGAAAACAGAGGACTTAAATACACACATGAGGTGATCAGGGGAAGTGGAGACACATGAGGAAACAGCTGACTAGGATAAACATAATTATGCACAGGCAAGAGTAAAACTAACTGCATGAACACAGAACACAAGACCCTTTTCAAAATAAAACAGGAAACATGCAGACTTAGACACGACAACACAACTTAACAGGCCTAACACGCATGACAGACTAGAAAAGGAACCAAACATAACCACACAGACATGACACATGAATCAGGGAAACTTAGTACAGGGGAGATGACATAACATGACATAAGAAACAGGACTACACAGTAATCTAGAAATTAACTAGGTGCACTAAGCTAAGGCACAAAATAAATACAAAAAAAATGCAGGCCATTTACCATTTATTAGAGCTTCTGTCTAGGTTAGAGAACACACAGTTTGTGTCTACATCTAAGATGAGATTATGTGTGGCCATATCTGGAATTTGTGAGAATAAATTGACAAAGAAGTTTTCATCATCGCAGTTGGGAGCATAAATGCTAGCTAAAATTAGTCTGAGTTGATAAAGATGGCAAACCACAATAATATAACGGCCCATAGGATCAGATAAAATGCTTGATACAGCAAAAGGGATGTGAACCATCCCTCGTCTTAGAGTTAAAGTTGAAGTGAAATAGTTGGCCTGCCCAACCAGTCCTCAATTTATGTTGGTCTGCTAACTGGTTATGTTAAGCACAAAAAGGTCCTTACACACCTGAAAGATCTCAAGGCTGATATCTCTGTTCTGCAGGAGACTCACCTTTGTATAGCTTCGACAGCAGCCATAGAGTTATCTAATCAAAAACCAACATTATGAATGTATTTGCACACCCAGACTCCAAGAAGGAGAAAAAAAAAGTAAATAAATTCTGGCAGTATCCCAAGCCAAGTCACCATGTAAAACCCGGTGACCCTGAAACCCCATTTGAACAAGACCACACATAGAAGTGCTGGCATTGGGAAACACTAGGACCAAGAGAAAACAAAAAGCAAAACTGGCAGCCACCTGGCTATAGCTCTGCAAGCGCACATCTCAGTTCTGACCTGATAATCGTGGAGATATTGTTTTTCAGAGAAGAAAGGATGTCCGATTTCAAACCTTCATACTTCATCACGGTGTCCGACTGCAAGCAACACAATGAACTCCCACTTACTTTCTTAGCATGTGCTGAGGATGCGCCTGGCCACTTCCCTGAGGAGCCAGTATATTTATATTTACGGAGTTTAGATGCCATTTCAGTTGTAACTACTGCGCCGTTTTTTTTTCCATTGGTCATTGTAAGACTCCTTGTGCTTGCCTCAAAGGGTTGTGCGTTAAAACTTTTCTTTTTGAATTTGATCATTTAGGTGCAATGGCCTCTCAAATAGCAAAGGTATTGTTGTCATTGGATGCTGAAGCAGTTGGCTCACTCAAAGAAGGAGTGAATTTCAAGAAAAGCACAGAGGATGGCAAGTGTTACATCATATTTAAGAGCAACAATGACTTTAAAGCATGCAAGAACCAGTGCAAGCATCAAGGGGGACTGTTCATCAAAGACATTGAAGATCTGGATGGCATGTGAGAGCAGGAGCAGATATCAGTGATTATACATTGTCAATTTTTGATTATAGCTGACAGAATTGTCTGTTCCCTCAGGACTGTTAAATGTACCAAACACAACTGGAAATTAAATGTGTCAACAATGAAATATGTGAACCCACCTGACAGCTTCTTGCAGGATGAGCTTGGTAAGTTCTGTCTGTAAAATGCCATTTACTGTATATTGATATTCCACTTCCTGCAATATGAGTGTTGGATGCTAAATCTGGAATATAAATATGTAAACTGTAAAGGTGCATTACGGGATGTGTGAGGACCTTATAGTTATAGCTCTTGCCACAGTAGGCTCTAACAATCAGAATAGCAATTACCTTCATTACTTTATTAAATTAAATGCTAAACTGGTAGAGGGCCTTTTCTAAAGAATAACATGACAATTTATGTCAATAATTGTAATTAAGAAATGTCAAACATATTCTTTCCAACAGACATTTTCCATGCTGCAAATGACTGGGATGTAAACTCTTTAATGCAATGTAATTCTCTCCTTGGTAATTTACATTTTTTCACTCATCCACGTGACTTCTTCAGTCTCAGCTGACTGCAGGTTTCTCCAACCTTATAAACAGTACATTTGCACAATGACTGAAACCAGCCCACTGAATGAACAATGGGCTGTGAGGTCAGTTCTTTGGTCATTAATATGGAAATGGTGCCAGTGCTGCTAGTTTCAGTCATTGTGCAAATGTACTACCTCCTAAGAACAATAATTAAACATTTGTGAAGAGCTCTGACCAGGAAAGCAAACCAAAACAAGAAACCAATGTCAAACATATCCTTCCAACTGACAATTTCTATGACTGGAACTGTTTAATGTAATTTATTCCTCTGAAAGTAATAACAATTATACATTTGTGCCAAAAAGCCCACTACAGTATAAATACATGTGAGTCAGTATGAATGACCATATTTAATGCATGGATAATAATATAATGAGAATAATATAAATACCATTTAAATACTACACCTAAGCTTCTTGTCGCACTTGCAGAGGTATCAATGTTGGATGATGGGGGGCTTCAGTTGGTGGAACTGAGCCCTGTTGATCCCTGGATGGCTGATCCTCGAGAACCTCTGGAGCTCCAGAAGGGAGAAGTGAAAGTACGTGTTGCTGTTACACTTTAAATAACAAATGTTTTACAGAGTTTTTCAGACACCGCTGTGCATTGTTTTACCCTTATTAGACTGTTATGCAAAATTATCTGTGTAATAAATTATATAAGTAATAATAAAAATCTTAATTATGTCAAAGTATCTCAATAATGAATGAAGAGGAAGGTCTGTGTATTCAGACTCACCTCTGGTGCAGGTGCCCACCTCTCAATTTTTAAATGCATGTAGACATTGAAGGTTGTCGGGAAGGGCCGTGCTGACACCTGCTAGCAGAAAGCATCATGCCCTTCCCGTCTTTTAAATGCACTTTAGAACAGCAAGCAGCAACAGTACATATGAGCAGGTGGAGAAAGGTATGGGGTCTTCACACACACCCGTTCTCTTTTTGGGGGGTGGGGGCTGGGAGGAGGAGTTGGCTGTCTGGTTGGGGTCTGGGATGCTCGGCCTCCCTGCTACTGCTTGTCTCCACACAAGGGAAAAGGGCAACATCTCCTGGGTCTGGGGCAGATTGCCCCTCCTGGGGCGACGGTACCTGGACCTGGGGGTATAGAATATGTTTGAGGAGTGTGACTTTGTCTACAGTGTTCATTTCTGTTTGTCTCCACATTAGGCAAGGGCTGCGTATTTACATGAGGGTGGGAATGCACGCTTGTGACTGTGTGTGCCTGTTTGTCTATGTCTGTGTGTTAGGTTACATCTTAGACTCCATCTCTCTGTGAACATCTCAGCCCCCCCAGGTGTAGGGGCCTATCACCCCCCACCACACTCCCTGCCGGTGGCTGACGCCCTCAGCCATCGGTGCGTTGGTGGTTCTTGGCATCTGGGGCTGGGCGCTCAGTTATGTACCAATTCACTCCCAGTGGCTCTTGGCTGCTTGACAAGGCCTGGTTCCCCCTGTGGCTTCTGCTCCGTGGCTGCTGGGTGACCCCAAATCTGGGGCTCTCCTCAGCTCTTTCCAGGAGAGGGTGCGGCTGCCCCTCCGTTGGTCCTCCTTGGGCTCTCGTGCTCTGGGGGACCTCTGGATGTCTAGGGCCTGGATCTCCTCCATGCCTGCTTCATGCCCTGGGAGATGGGGCTATGGCTCCCCACACCCTCTAGCAGATTGTTGCATTGACAAACCTTTTAAATACAAGCACTCTCATCCACACAGGTGTACACACAGGTGCTCATAGACACAAACTATACCTTTCTTGGCTATTACCTCAAAGCACATTGTGCGCTGTCAGTCTTATATGCTGCACAATAACATTCAATATTTAGTATTTACTGTTGCTTACACTTATCTAGGTTATTGCAATGGTGTTGTGTTTACTACACTGAACAAAAATATAAATGCAACACTTTTGTTTTTGCTCCCATTTTTCATGAGCTGAATTGAAAGATCTGAAACATTTTCTACATAAGACCCATTACTATCAAATATTGTTGACAAATCTGTCTAAATCTGCGTTAGTGAGAACTTCTCCTTTGCCGAGATAATCCATCCCATCTCACAGTTGTGGCATGTCAAGGTGCTAATTAGACAACATGAATATTGCACAAGTGTGCCTTAGACTGCCCACAATAAAAGGCCACTCTGAAATATGCAGTTTGAGAGGCGTGATTGCAGATGCCACTCAGGTGGGTCCACCTCCCCTGCAGGTTGTAAGATTCAGATAATTATTTAATAAAAGCTAAATATTTTATATGAGAGTAAGAAAGAAAAGTATTTCTTTGTGCCCCCTTTCCCTGTTAATGCCCTACCTGGCCCCCTGGCAAAAGCTTTGCTAGATCCGCCCCTGCACAGTTACAAGCTGTGAGCTACACAGAAAAGGATCCAAGTGTTATTCGTCTCTCAGAAACAGTTCATAACTTCCCTTTAACTCATTCATGTCACCTAAAAGGTAAATCTGTTACTCCATCACCAGTTCAGCTCTGATGATTCAGTAAGGACATCTCCTGGTTTCGACCAGCCGCTTTTACAGCTGTGGCTCCAGCAAACATCAACTGATACTAGAAATTAAAATCGAATGAATTATAACAACAGCTGATCAAGCTTAAATGTGCTGCTGTTGTTTAGCGCGATAAACAAACAAGAGAGAAAAGCCGATCATTGATCAGTTTCATGATTGAAGTTGCAACAGGCGAGAGAATGACAGGGGAGGCTGCATATCGACAGAATAAATCCAGCTTTGTGTCTTCTTCCATTCTACCTGAAGTACGGGACAAACTGTGTTCCTTTTCGGCTCAATACGAAACGCATAATATTTTCTCTGAACGTGGGACGATTCCATTTGTACGGAACGGTTGGGAACTCTACGAACTAACCCTCATGAATAAAATAAAGTTCAACATCAGTAACTTAGCGCGCACACAGCTGTATAGAAACTCGTAACTCGTTCTGCGTGCTGCTAGTACGCAGTACGAGTTATTGTAACTGATTGTAAAAAGTCAGCACAACGAAAATAAACTACACCTAAACTCGGTTTATATCTGACCCAAATGGAGTGCAGTTCATAACTTCTTACCTGAAATTCAGTTAACCTGACACAGCCACCTTGGGTCTGCTTCTCCTGCCTTTAATTTCCCTGATCCATGGCTGCTATCTGTTTGAGGTCCGCGTTAGCCACCACAGGTCGATCGGCGGCTGCCTCGCCGCCTCGTGTGTGTCTTTTTCCCGCAGCTGCCCTTTGTTGGAGCTCCGCTTAGCCACCACGAGAAAACTCAGTTATTTTCCCACATTAACCAGCATCTGGACAACCACCTTTCACTGTTTATACCGTTACTAAAATGAATAAATGAATCATCGGCCCATATAAACAAAAAATAAGTCCAGCTGAGACGAAGACTATTTGTGAGCGATCGGGGGTGAAATGAGTGTGAGCAGCCTCACTGAAATCCAAGCCCGGGTGCTTTTGAGCGAAGCTAGCTAGTCGCGCTAGCTAGCTAGCAAGAACTGTTGCTAATATGGGATGTCTTGATAAAACGAGCAGATATTTGAAGTTTACACAGCTACATTCTCGCCTGAAAATATCTTAAAAGTTT